TGACCCTCCTCCCTCTCATGCTCTCTGTCTCGCAAATAAATAAAATCTAAATAAATAAATAAATAAATAAACTGTGGGAATTATGCTGTACAATAGGTCTCTAGGACTTACTCATCTGGCTCATTTTTTATTTATTATTATTTTTTATGTTACTTAGGTGTTTAAGTTTGAGTCTTATATCTCCTTCCCTGCCAATCCTCATAAAGAGTTCTATCCCTCACAGTCTTCCTTCCTGTTTCTCATTGCCCTCCCATCTTAGCTTATACCCCATTCTGTAAAGTGACTCTTCCTAAGATCACTAAACACCACATTGCTTAATGTGGGGAACATTCCACTTACCATCTTTCTTGATCTCTTAAGAATATTCTTCATAGTGGACTATGCCATCCTCCTTAAAACACTTTCTTCCCTTGGTTTCCGTGGCACGATAGCCTGTTGGCTTTCTTCTCTATTCTTTCTCAGCCTTCTCTTGTTTCAACCGTTTTTCCTTCCACTGGCCTTACCTGTTAGCTTTCTTAAAGTGTGACCTGTACTCTTCTTTTTCTTTTTGCCTTAGTGATTTCTTGAACTCCCATGAACTAATTCAAATCCCAACAACTCCAGTTCTTACTCTAAATCTTTCCTTTGAGCTAGGCTTATTTAGCCTTTGCCATCCCTAGTTTGATATCACTGGCATTTCAAATTTAACAGGTTCAAAACTGAAGGTCTAAAACCCCCCTGCCCCCTTTCCCCAAAACAAACAATGGGCTTTAGCCCTTTTCCACTGTTCCTTGTCTCAGCAAATGGCCCCATCCACCTACCCGGTTTTCAAAGCCAGGAACCTGGAGGTCGTCTATTGACACCCACCTTCTTTCTTGTTCTGTATTCAGTGAATAAGTCCTGTTGATGCTACTTTCTGGGTCTCTCATCAGTCCTCCCCACTCCTTCCAAGCCACCATCTTCTCTCACCTGTCCTGTTTCCATATCTTAACTAGTCTTTCCACTTCTCTTGTCTTTTTGCCTTTTAATTCACTTTCAGGACAGCAGCCAGAGTAAATATTTTAAGAAGCAGAGAAGAACGTATTATTAACTTAATGAAATGCCTGTTTGTTTTCACAAGTTAGACTGGGATTTGTGTTTTGCTTTCAGGTGTCCACTTGCGAAAGCAGCATTCCTACATTGAGCAAGGCAAGAAATGTCGATACTGCGATGCTGTGTTTCATGAGCGCTATGCCCTCATCCAGCATCAGAAGTCACACAAGAATGAGAAGCGCTTTAAGTGTGACCAGTGTGATTACGCTTGCAGACAGGTAGAGACCTTCATAGTTAGAAAGCAGTTGATTCCCCATCAGTGTCAGGTTTTATCAGAGGGTTTTTAGATTCCTTGTATAGTAACTGTTTTTAAGGATGGTATTTTCAAACTGACTTAGGAGGAATATCACCAGAGGTCTCACTCCTCGATGTTATCACCTCAGTCTCCAGCTGATGTTTTTATTCAGTCATAGCTTACCTCCCCCTCAGGCAAACTACTGGCTGCTTTATCAAAACTGGGAGAATTAAGTCCAGGACCTGAGAGAAGAGAAGAATATGGTCCTGGGGCTTAGGGGTGATCTAGACAGGCGGCCCAGCCAGGGAGCATATCCGTACTGGGATTTAAGGCAGCAGTTTTGCAGCCCTGTAAAGATAACTTTATCCTCTGGACAGGCAGTTTTGAGCCTAGACCCTTCCGGAGAGAAAGGCCTCTGGACCATGTGTGCAGATGGTGGCTGGGGTAGCAGCCCTGTGACGGGCTCTGAGGCCTTTTCCCCCCCCTGCTGTCTTTCAGGAGAGGCACATGATCATGCACAAGCGCACCCACACTGGGGAGAAGCCTTACGCCTGCAGCCACTGCGACAAGACCTTCCGCCAGAAACAGCTCCTCGACATGCACTTCAAACGCTATCATGACCCCAACTTTGTCCCTGCGGCCTTTGTCTGTTCTAAGTGTGGGAAAACCTTTACACGCCGGGTGAGAGTCAGAACTTCACTTCCCTCATCATGGTTCTTAATATCATGTTCTTGATCTTCCACTGCAAAGCAGGGTAGTTTTTTGCACTGAGGTTATAAGCACAGAGATGCCTTATTTGGAAAGGGCCACTCATCACCACCTCAGGCTTTTCTGTACATGTGTGAACCCTCCTGCTGAAGCGGGGGGACTCAGTATCTGAAATAGGTCTTTCTTGGATCTTCCTTTGGGGCCATGTTAGGTCTGCACAGGACAGGGGGCTGGTCTGATCCTCCTGTGTTCCTCTTGCCTGCAGGCTGCTGAGAGGCCCTAGCCCCTCCTCTTCTGAGGGACTCTCTTTCCTCCCTCCCTCCCACCCTCCCTCTCTCCCTCCCTTTCTCTCTCTCTCTCCCTCCCCCCCCCTTCCTTCTCTCTCCCTCTTCCAGATGGAGACCATTTCCCTTGAATGAGGAGAGCATGTTCAGGATGTGCTTATTAGCACATACTAGAACATTTCAGACTAGATATGAGTGCCCGAAATTTTTATTAAAGTAAGTGAACTTCTAATTTCTGATACCAGTTTTTTTAGTAACATGAACGAAGATTTTGTTTCTTCCGTTAGAATACCATGGCAAGACATGCTGACAATTGTGCTGGTCCAGATGGCGTAGAGGGGGAAAATGGAGGGGAAACAAAGAAGAGTAAACGTGGCAGAAAAAGAAAGATGCGTTCCAAAAAAGAAGACTCCTCTGACAGTGGTGAGTAACTTATTTCTTGATTTAGTTACATGTGGTAGATTTTGGTGCCCAGTTGCCAATCCATTGATGTATGGATGTACTGGGATAGAGAGGCCAATCACTCTTACTTCCTTTATAGCCTCTAGTCTCCCTAAGGTATGTTATGTATTTACAGCAGCAGCTAGTTTCTGGGGAAAGTTCGTGTTTTTGTTTATTTGTGTGTTTTTTTCTCCTGGTATTCCATTGCTTGATAATACCTTATATGTTACATGTTTAGTTAAAGCCAAAGCAAAATTAGTATTTCAACTCAGTTTTCTCAGATTAGTGATATTCTAAGGCCAGCAGAGTTTCTTTTCTATGTTCGTAACTTTTACATTTAGGTAGGAATCTGGTCTAGATTTGAGCAATGAATCTAATGGATATGAAGAAGGTTTCTTAAGCATCTTGACCAACTTCTGGTTTGACTGCCTGTGTCAGCCTAGCCTTGAGATGTGTTGATCAAATCCATGAAGGTCAGCCTTTCTCTTCCTACCTTAATCTCTCCGTTTTATAATGTAACACTTTGCCTATTTTCCTACCATTGATGCTGTTGGGGGTGTTTTTTACTTTAGTCATGAAATCCAGGCAGAAGGTATGCTTTGAGGTGCTAGACTCATGAAGAGGGAGGGAGAACAAGAGCGTCAATAACGGAGAGTCACATTGGATGGTACACACTCGTCTCATGGTTTTAGGCTCTGTAATGTGGATGCTTGGGCTGCTGGCCAAGTAGTTGTGAAGGCACATCTGTGACTAAAGATTTAAGCTTTTTATGGTAAAAGATATATGTAGAGGGGTTTTGTTTTGGGGAATACACTTCCCCAGAAGCACCATCAGACTGGAGAAATTATAGATGGTGCCTTATGTGTTTCTAAGGCTCCTCATTTTGTCTTGCATTGCTTGTTAGTAATAATGGGGAGGGATTAAAATTTTTTGAAGATTGAAAATACTTGAAAACTTCAGTCTCTCCATTGATTTTATCTAAAACTTGCTCATGAAAGCACTAGGTTTTTTTATACTTAGATCTGTAACAAGGTCCCTTTTAGTTTTTGTGTATTTTGTTTATTTTAATAAAACCTTTTCTGTTTAGAACTTTTACTTTTTCTGGGAGAATATTCATCCAGTAAGCATAAGAGTAGTTTATTTTTTGCTGCCTTTTTTAGAAAATCTAATTTAAGCATTCTCTTCATCACTGGGTTTTCAGTAAACATGCCTCCTTTAAAATGTCGGTTTACTTAAAAGCACACCATTCTCTCCTGGGGCGTCTGGGTAGCTCAGTTGGTTGGGCATCTGCCTTTGGCTCAGGTCATGATATCAGGGTCCTGGGATTGAGCCCCGCGTCGGGCTTCCTGCTCAGCGGGGAGCCTGCTTCTCCCTCTCCTCCTGCCTCTCCCTCTCCTCCTGCCTCTCCTTCCTCCTCGCATGCACACTCACTCTCTCTCTCTCAAATAAATCTTAAAAAAAAAAAAAATACATACCATTCTCTACTGAAAATCTTTGTGGGACCCTTTGACTAAGAAATTAATGAGTTGGGGGCACCTGAGTGACTCAGTCAGTTGAGTGTCCAGCTCTTGGTTTCAGCTCAGGTCGTGATCTCAGGGTTCTGAAATCAGGTGCCATGCTCAGCAGGGATTCTTCTTGGGATTCTCTCCCTCTCCCTCTGTCCCTTACCCCGCTCGCATGTGGTCTCTCTTGCTTGCTCGCTTTCACTCTAAAATAAATTTTTTAAAAAAAGTCACAGGGATGCCTGGGTGGCTTAGTCATTGAGCGTCTGCCTTTGGCTGGTGTCATGATCCCAGGGTCCTGGGATCAAGCCCCGCATCGGGCTCCCTGCTCGGTGGGAAGCCTGCTTCTCCCTCACTTGTGTTCCCTCTCTTGCTATGTCTGTCTCTGTCAAATAAATAAATTAAAAAAAAAAAAAATCACAGGCCCCAAGTGCCACCAGAGATCCACAGGTAACCTTGAGCTGGAGGATCTCTGTAGGTGCTTCTAGTTGCAGAGCCTCCTACTGCCACAGATGTTGGCCCTTACTTAGCCTTCTTGCTTATGGTACCACTTGGTCACTTCTGTGGTTCATCTCCCAGTAAGAGAGGCTTCATTCCCTAATTATGCATCACCAGAGTATCTTTCAGCAGAAGACTTTACTGATGGTTGCTAATAGATGCTGCAGCTCCTTCTTTTGTCTTATGCATTGCTGGCTTGTAGAGCACGGTTTGGTTCTGGGCCTTGTACTGAGTGTCTTTTTATCCCCCCAGAAAGTCTAGGCTTTCCATCCCACTGCTGACCAAGACCACACAGTTACATTTGTCCTCTCCCAGAAGTTCTGCCTGTTGGCCACTTGCAGAGATTAACCAGCTATTTTAACTGCTATTAACTGCTATTTTCGAGGCTTTTTGCCAAAATCTCTCCAAGCCAATAAGCCTTTGACCCTATTAACCTTCTTTGTGTGCTTTTTTCCCCCAATTCTGACTGAATTTGTTTGGTTTTCTAGGCATTGGGCCAACTTAGGCAATAGGGGGCTTGAATAAGTTCAACAGGGAAGTATCTCATCTCGTTCTTGACACACTGCCACATACCAGTGTGTTCCCCACATTTTCACTTAGGATTTGACAAACAAGGCATTTTGTCCTGAAGATGAGGCCTTTACTCCTAGATTTCTAAATGTAAATGTCTGGTCCTAGAGAAAGACAGCATAACCTGTACTCCTCAGAGGCAGAGGCGAGCAAGGAGGGTACTTCGCGTGCCATGCGTGGCAAGGGGTGGGGGAGCAGGAGCCCCGGAACCGCGGCCAGGGGTGGGCAGCAGAACAGCCCCAGGTGGAGGCTGGAGGTTGAGTTCTGCCTGCTATAATTTAGCCATGCCTTCCAAATCACTTAGCTTCTCACTTTTTCTGTAAAATGAGGGTAGCACCTCTTATTAAATGAAGTAATGAAGCCAAAATGGAATAATGGAGAATGTTAAAAACTGTGACGCATGGTGCAAACAAGAAGTGTGTCTGTGTAGGGGAGTCCAAGTTGCAGAGCGTGATTACGTGCGTTACAGTTCAATCCTTTTGATTCTCAAATCACTAGTAAGTAGGTTGGGGGTGCTTTAGAGATTATATAAGGAAACTGAGGTTCACTGTGGTCATTGTCCCAAGTCACACACCTAGTAAGGGATTCAAAGCTCCTTTTCAGTATTCTTTATACAGTAGTCCCCTCTTGATGATGGCATTAGGGAGTTAAGAATGACCCATTGATTCTGGCATAGCTGAGAATGAAGTTAAAAAACTTGGCCTTAAAGCCATCAGGGGGCGCCTGGGTGGCTCAGTAGGTTGAGTGGCCAACTCTCGATTTTGGCTCAGGTCATGATCTCAGGGTTGTGGGATTGGGCCCCATGTCAGGCTCCACGCTCAGCAGAGAGTCTGCTTGAGGATTCTGTCTCCCTTTCCCTCTGCTTCCCCCAACCCCGCCCCGTGTGTGTGTCTCTCTAAATAAATAAATAAATCTTTTTTTAAAAAAAAACATCAATCATAGTCCTAGAAGAACTCTTGCTGCTTATCCTAGTAATAGGACCTCACAATGCCACAGGAATTTATGTTGTGCATGCATGTGCACGTACACACACACACCCACCCACCCCCCGTCTGCCTACTCAGAGACTGGCAGGAGCACATCTTCGAGGGTCTGTCTCAGGCTCAGTACCCTGCTTTATCCTTGCATAATAGGTAGAGGGAATATATGTTTTCAACTTAAACACTGTGGTATTATTACATATCTGGCATATGATGGAATTGCCTCTTAAGAATTTGAAATTTGGGGCGCCTGGGTGGCTCAGTCGTTAAGCGTCCGCCTTCGGCCCACATCAGGCTACCTGCTTGGTGGAAGCCTGCTTCTCCCTCTCCCACTCCCTCTGCTTGTGTTCCTGCTCTCGCTCTCTTTTTGTCAAATAAAATCTTTAAAAATAGTTTTTTTGAAACTTAATATTCTGATGTCTAAAGCTAAAAGAAATAAGTAATATCCAGCCCACATAAAGTAGGACTAGTAGTCTTCGAGTTGATTTGTATATTAATTCTCACAAAAGCATTTTTAAATGGACTTCTGTTGATGAAAATAAATATGTAACTAGACTTAACAGAATATGTATATTGATTTTGTGTGTGTGTCATTTTTCTTCCGCTGTACTTCTCCGTGTCCGTTCCCCCGCCGCACGTTACTCCTGATTTCATGAGAAGAAAATGCTGAGCCAGACCTGGATGACAATGAGGATGAGGAGGAACCTGCTGTGGAAATTGAACCCGAGCCAGAGCCTCAGCCTGTGACCCCAGCCCCACCCCCTGCCAAGAAGCGGAGAGGACGCCCTCCTGGCAGAACCAACCAGCCCAAACAGACCCAGCGTAAGTTCCTTGTCTCCACCTAGTAGGCTGGAGGCTGGCGGCTGCTCCCAGCGTGGGCAGGAGCCAGATGGGTCCTTGTTTTGGGGGATGATGAGAACAAGTTAAGGTCACACCAGGAACAAACTGTCAGGAATCGATTATTTAGTTTTTACTGGGAAGCACGTGAGGAAGACCCGAGAAGCCCGTTGCACTTCAGGGAGAAGGCCCAAGTAGAAGGTTCGCATGGTGGACAAGATGGGGACTTCGTGGGAGGGTTCTGCAAAACAACCAACATCCCAGTCAGCTGGCAGGATTGATATGGTATGGTAATGAATGTAAAAGAGCCAAAGTTTAAGGGATGAAGGATAAAGCAATTCCTGTGCTGAGTGTTCCTCCTAAGAAATCCAGGCCTGTGGATTCAAGGGTTGGCCTTCTGCTGTAGGAGCGGGCACAGCAGAGGTGTTCACCCTCTACCTCACACCACAAATGGCAGTGGGCACGGCCCTTGTGACAGCAGGCTCTGGGGGACTCGAGTCTCTGTTCTGTTCTCTGTTGTTGTGGATATCCTGAAAGCTGGCAGGCAGGGTTTTTTCTTTAACAAACGCAAGATTTTTTTTTTTTTTTTAATGTACTCCCTGAGCCCATGTGTAAATGTCTGTTTGTGGGGGGTGTGACTGTAGACCCTGGGAACCATTTCGCCTACACATACTTGAGTGAAAAACACTGGTGGAGGGCCCTGGGTGTGGGAGACTTCAGGGTCAGAAATGGATGTTCTTGCTGTAGGTGGTTCACCTTCAACTCGACCCTGCATCACACGCATTGGGAGGTATTCTTAGTCATGTGCTGTCTGCATCTTTCGCCTATCTCGTACTAGTGCAAAGCTCAACTTTATGACGTAAAGGAAAACTAAGGCTTTTAGTATGGAATTTGGGAGGCATATGAACATGAATGTCAGCATTTTGTTCTTTGATAGCCAAAGAGTATTGGGGCTTTATGAATGGCCATATTTTAGGTCATTAAGTCTTTTTTTTTTTTTTTTTTAATGACTTTTTCTGTGTCCTTGCTAATAAGGCTTTCCTGCATTGCTGACATCCATTTAGTGTCGAGTCTGACGGGACCCTTGCAATCCTCAGGGGCTTTAATGGAGCATTTGTTTTGTTCATGCTCTTTCTTGCCAGCAACAGCCATCATCCAGGTGGAAGACCAGAATACAGGTGCAATTGAGAACATTATAGTTGAAGTCAAAAAAGAGCCAGATGCGGAGCCCGTGGAGGGGGAGGAAGAGGAGGCCCAGCCGGCTGCCACAGACGCCCCCAATGGAGACCTCACGCCCGAGATGATCCTCAGCATGATGGACCGGTGATGGCGGGGCCTTGCTCATCGCCAGGACTGCTCTGGGCTGTGTTTAAACGGCCCGCATCTTAATTTTTCTCCCTTCTTTCTTCTTTTGGCTTTGGGAAAAGCATCATTTTACACCATTTTACCAAACACACTGAGAACTAAAACTTCAAGGATGACGTTAGAAAAATGTGATTTTACTAGAACTTGCTGTTTGATGTTAGCAAATCATGGAATGTTCTGAGTCCCTGAGGGTTTACTGTGAAGTGCTGAGGACAGTGTTGATGCCTAACTGGTTTTCTTAGATGGAAACAGAGACATTGGACCCTCTCCTTGCTATGGTAAACCACTCCAGAATGGCCACCGGGTTTCCCAGAGTTCTAGGTCTTCTTCCCAGGAGAGTTTTTAATTGTAAATGCAGACTTGGGAAGGACTTACACTTTTAAACTGGTTTTTGCTTCTGCTTCTCCCTGACTCCCTTTGCTCGGAGCCAGCTGCACGCCAGTAGTCCGGCATGCTGCGATCGGTGTCTGTCCTGAAGGCTTTGCCTCTTTCTTGGCAGAGTTTCTGGTATGGTCAAGCTTGTAAATAACTTTTTTTACATTTTAATCTTTTCCATTAATTAAGAGGTTGAAAAGAAGTGCAGTGTAAGAAAACCCAGCATTTTAATTACTTGCAAATTAAGTTACCACAGACTCTGTCGTGTGTAAATGTTGACAAGGAATTGGATCACAATCATGTAGCAGAATGGCACCGAGACTGCTGCCCGCTAATGACGGACGCCCACATGGAAGATCGCGATTTCCAGCCCGTGGAGCCAGCATTTGAACCTTGTACAATTAACTTTCAGTTATGATTTCCCATCTACATTTTCTTTGCTCTGTTTGTAGCTGAATTTTGTGTTTTATAATTCCTCTCTTCAAGCAGAAGGGTGATTATGAGTGGGTCACAGCAGCCCTTAAAAGCTGGGCCAGAAAATTTCACTAGGTCAGTAATTTAAACTTTGGATCTGCAAAACAAAATAATGTGAAACAAAACCAACTAAAAAGTGATTCTTGCACATGAACTGTCACACGTTTGAAATGTGTTTTTTAGAGAGCCTCAGTCTTGCTGATTTCAAACACTTTTTTCTTCTGTGTATTGCTTTTAAAAGAGCCATCAGTTAGCTATCAGACTCTAGGTTGATGCATTTTGTACTTAGCTGTACTGTGTGATATTTTTCATTATTTTAGGACGCCAACATGAGACCTGTAATAAAATATGTAATGGGGTTGAAAGCTGGGGAGGAGGACCTACTGCTGTACAGCTAATAAATCATAATGGATTAACAAGTGCTCCAGACACTCCGTCACGTGTGATCTCTGCCTGCTGGGGGCCCCACAGGTCCGTGTGCATGGCCTCAGGTGCTGCAGGCCTGGTCGCCGTTGAGAGGCGAACTCTATTCTTGGGATGGCCACTTCTGTCCAGCACGTCCGAGATGATCTTGGCAAATGGTGGGGTTAGTGAGTGAACCCCGCCACAGGTTTTAACTCCCCAGAGGTGTGTGTGAGTAGCAAGGTGTGGTTGGACAGCTGCCAGCCTCCGTGATCCACCTTAGGGGTGGGTCCCTGCAGCAGAGGAGTGACCACAGAAGTTAGAGAAGGGGGCTCATGGGAAGTTCTGTCCAGGACCTCTTCTCCGTGAGGGCTGAGGTCAGCACCTTGGGTTCTGCCAAGTGCAGGACAACGGAAGCTGGGCCCAGTCTGCCCTAGAGAAGGTCATGTGGGAGGGGAGACAGAGTCACCAGGCTGCAGGGAGCGATTCCTAGACAGCCAGCTTGTTAGCGCTGCGGGAGGCACCGTGGAAAGGGAGTTGGACTAGGAAGCTGATGCGTTAGTGAAACGTCCTCTTGCTGCCGCTGCCCATTTCTGGGCAGATAGCTTTGGTAAACCCGTTTTAGTTAAAAGCTTCAGCCACTGATTCTGGGGCTTTTTAACCAGAATTCTGAGTTAGTGGTTTTCAGGGAGAAGTAACAGAAGGTCAGGTGTGTGTGACCTTTGGCTGCTAGTACTGTCCACGTAGTCCCGTCTCCCAGGAAAACGGGTATCTGAGGCCTCAAGACTCAGAACCTGGCAGGCAGCTCCTTGGGCCCAATGTTAGCGACCCGAGGCTGTCAGAGTGTGGGGTCTTTGTCTCAGGCATGGGCCAGCCCCTACGGGGGGCAGAGTACCCCCTACCATAGTGTTTCAGTGGCCATACGATTTTCTAAATTTTTTGGTGTTCATAATAGATGTCTGCAGAACAGTGACATTTTTATCTTCAGCATAGCTTTTTCTCTGTGTACATGCAAGTTGTTTGAAAGTTTAAAAGATAGTTTTGGATGGAGAGGGGGCAAGAGGAGTCCCATTCTGATGGAGTAGAAACAGAAGGGATCCCCCATTGCATAGCCCATGATGCACCCTGTGTGACTCCATTATATATAAAACCTGTATAAAATACAGATTTTACATAATATAAACATGGAAGTACAGAAGCCATTTCTCACTGCACACCCGAGAACTGTGGACGGGCTAATTCCTGACCTGTCAGCTCTCCCCCACTGTTAGGCCGTAGCAGGTACTGGAGTAAAATATTCCCTTTGCTCACCTGGGCCCTCCTTGCCAGTGGTCTGGGTCTGGGCTTCTAAACGGTCTGCGGGGAACCTGTGGCCGCCTGGAGGTGCGGCCCGGCCCCTCCTCTTGCGCTGCGGCCGCAGGCGGGGCTTCCGCCTCAGGAGGGGCTTTTAGCATTTCCTGGGTGCCCACGGGGGGTCCTGCCGTCTAGAACACGGGCGAGCTGGAGGCCTCTCCCCCTCGCGCTGAGTCACTCAGCGTGTTCGGAGCTCAGTCCCATGTGTCCCCCGGGTCTCTGATAGAGTTGTGGCCGTTGGGTCGCTGCCGCGCTGACCAGCAGCAGTTCGGAGGTGGGTGGCGAGCCCCCCAGCCCTGCCCTGGTTTCCGTGCCTTTCTGGTCTGCTCCCGTCAGACGGGGGCAGATCCCACCAGCACGTTGCTCGCCTCCAGAGTCTCCTCCGGCAGTCCTTCCCTCTTGTATTTCCCCTCCGAATCCTTCTCAACAGAAGAGCCCCGGCCAGGTGCGCTTCCTCTTGCTCCGCTGTGGGGCCCCAGGGTTGCCGGGCCGACGTGGCCGGTGTGTGCGCTTTCCCCGAGTGCCAGGCCCTGCGGTGAGCACTTCGGCAGCATTTCGTAGCCTCGGAGCAACACTCTGAGGTAAGGTCATAGCTCCAGCTTACGAAACGGGAACTGGAAGCCCAGAAAGGTTAAGTAACTTCTTGAGTGTGGAACACCTGGTAAGAGGTGGTGTCGGGACGAACGTTCAGGCGATCGGCCTTTAGGACCAGCGTTTTCCACGGACAGACAGCTCGGCCTGCTGAGTGCGAGAGACCTACTGAGTTCTCACCCTAAAAGCAACTTGTGGGTTCTATGTGGTCTTAGAAGGAGTCCTCAATCTTAACCCAACCTCTTCTTTCAAACTGGGAGACATCAGAAGACTGGTGCCTCCGTTTGCAGGAACACCTCTGGCTGAGTTCTCCCGTCCCCCCTCGTCAGTCCTCAGCTTTCACATCATCGGCCTCTTGCTTGAGGGGAGGCTTTGCTCAAGCTGCTACCATTCAGTTTCTACAGCCACTTTGTCTCAGTCTTTGGCAGAGATAAGATTTTGTTGGGGGGTGGGAATGATCACGTGACTGGAGCATGTTCCCACTTCTCTCCAAGCCCTGAGGTGAGGAGGGGTAGCTAGATGGGAAGGAAGCCAAGGGACCCTGCTCATCATCTCATCTACTCTCAAGGTAATTTCACCTCTGCCGGGCTGAGCTATGGGCAGGGCAGAGGGCTGTTCCTAATAAGTGACAGTTTAATTGGATTGTAGTGGAAGAAAAAATAATAATTCTTCTGTGAATCCTCCAGATTCTAGGTCCCTGGTCTTTTATAGGGCAGCATGCTTCCAGTTAGCAGGACCCCACCCCATGACCTCCTGACCCGTTCCAGCCAGTAGAGGTGAGGTCCGTGGAAGGGAGAGGATGCAGACATGGAGGATCCCCATGTAACTGGCCTTTGCTCACCCCTCCCAAAGTCCCTTGAGGTTTAGGCCTTAGCCCAAGGATGCTCCCTGAGGGTACTTCCCACCTTCCAGCCTTAGTCCAGCCTGAGCCTGATGAGAGCTGAGGATCCTGCGCAGCACAGAAGGGTGCCTGAGCCCATCTGGCATTTTTTTCTGCCGTTTCAAAAGCTGGTGGATTTCCGGGACGCCTGGCTGGCTCAGTTGGTAGAGCATGCGACTCTTGATGTCCCGCCCATGGCCCAGGAGTTGGAGTCCCCATAGAGATAACTTAAAAAAAAAAAGTTGGTGGATCTCTGACGGGGTCACAGACTCCAGGTTAGGAGCAACAGATTAAGTCCTTCAGGTTAGGCCCCGGGTGTTGGGAGAGGTTCTAGGAGAGATCCGATTCTCCTTGCTGAATACACGCCCCTCCGGGCCGGGCCCCCAGTCCACCGCCGCAGCTGGGTTTTGGAGTGGACGAACGCGGGTGGGCCGCAGGGATCCCCGAGCGGGCAGCGCCCCCTGGTGCTCCCGGCAGGGACTGCGGCGCGGGGTGGAAGTAGGGGGCTAGGAACTGCAAGAGGCGCGCGCCACACGCGCGACTGTCCCTGCCACCCAAGTCCTACCCCGTGCCTGCCCTGCCAGAGTAGCTCCTGCGCGACAGAGCGGGCGGACAGCTGGGACTCTGCCCCCCTCCTACGTCTCCTGGCCCGCGGAGGCCGGGGCGGGGAGGAGCCGGGCTGGGGGCGGCCTGGCAGGAAGCAGCGCGTACCTTCCGCTGCAGGAGGAGCAGGTGGCTGCCGTGCGGGCCAGGGCCCCCAGGCTTCCTGTGTGCGCGCCCGCCCGCAACTGTTTCTCGTCCGAGCTCCTGGGGCCGCCCGGCGGCCCGGCCCGGCCCGGCCCCATGGCCCAGACCCCCGACGGCATATCGTGTGAGCTGAGAGGTGAGCGCGGGCCCTTCCCACCTACTTGGCTCCAGAGCCGGAGCACACCCAGCGTCCGGGGAGCACCTGCAAGCGGTTCTCTCTGCTCCTCGGAAGAGCTTGGCGCCCCCCACACCCACTCCACTCCTTCCTTGCTGGCCCATAGATGAGCCCAGGCCACAGGCCTGGTACAGACCATGGGCATGCGTTGCCCTCCGCGGGAGGACCAAATCACCCAGCAGGCTGCCGTTCCACAGGCGAGATCACCAGGTTCCTGTGGCCCAAGGAGGCCGAGCTGCTGCTGAAAACCTGGCTACCAGAGCGGGAGGGTGCTGAGCGAGGTCATGTCCTGGTATGGCAGGGGGTAGAGCCTGGGAGGGCTTCTGGGGCCCAGGCAAAAAGAGCCTCTTGGCCTGCCCAGGGCGTCAGACACTCTCTCCCCCCAGGCATTGCTACGATGGAGAGCCTACCTGCTCCACACCTGCCTCCCCCTGAGGGTGAGTGCCAGGGGCTCACTGCCACCCCACCCTGCCCTCCAGCAGCTTCCTGGGTGAGGGTTGTCCCGTGGGCTCTGCCCTTCGCAGAGCTCTGGGCTCCCCCGCGGGCAGGGCTGCCTCTGAGCTCCCAGCCGCACAGGGGACTGGGATCCCGGGGCGGGGCGGGGGGGGGGGGGGGTTTGGCTAGGGCCAGGCTTCCAGCTGACTCCGGCTCTCCACAGGTGGACTGCACATTCAGCTACCTGGAGGTCCAGGCCATGGCGCTGCAGGAGACGCCCCCTCAGGTGAGACAGCTAATACCCCACCCCATGGCCTGCAGCCTGGTTTTCGCCTCCCCTTCCACCTGCGCCCGCACGTGGAGCCCAACCCAGCTGCCATCCCACCCCAGGTGACTTTTGAGCTAGAGTCCCTGCCTGAGCTGGTCCTGGAGTTTCCTGGCGTGGCTGCTCTGGAGCAGCTGGCCCAGCACATTGCCGCAGCCATCAAGAAGGTCTTCCCTCGCTCCAGCCTTGGGTGAGGCCCAACAACTACGGGGGGAAGGAGGGCAGCACGGGAGTGCTCTGGATGACACCAGTGGGTTGCCTCCCATCCCAGGGGCTACAAGTCCCTTGTCCCTTCTCCCTTCTGCCCCTCCCCAGGAAGCTATTCCGGAGGCCCACATCCCCCTCCATGCTGGCTCGGCTGGAGAGAAGCAGCCCCTCCGAGGACACTGCACCCAGCAGCCCCTGTGGTGAGGGCCAAGAAAAGGCCACCCAGGACTTCCAGCCTCCCCCCCCATCCTACAGCCCCAGACCCCTGAATTGGGGGTCTCCCAAACTGAACAGAGTCACTCCAAGCACAGCCACCACCCAGCTCGGATCTGATCTTCCTCCCTCCCTGACCTTCTGTCTCTCTCCTCCTCACCCCATTATACCCCTGGCACCTCCCCCAGGTGGCTTCTTGGAGACCTATGAGGCTCTGTGTGACTACAATGGCTTCCCTTTCCGAGAGGAGATTCAGTGGGTGAGAGTAGGGCCCTCCCTGGGGGGGCTCTGGAGATATCTGATCCCCCCGTGTGCATCGGGTCCCCTTCCCCCTGGTGACCCCAAGCCCGGTGGGAGACATCTTCTTCCCATCCAGGATGTGGACACCATCTACCATCGCCAAGGCTGCCGCCACTTCAGCCTATGCGACTTCAGCCATCTGGGCAGTCGGTCTGTGGCCTGCCAAGGGTGGGAAGGGAGGGACATCCCATGACCCACATTCCTGAGCCCCGGCCTCTCCATGGAGAGCCCTGAACTCTGCCCCTGCCCCCTCTCACACCCAGGGACCTGGCCTTGAGTGTGGCCGCCCTGTCCTACAACCTGTGGTTCCAGTGCCTCTCCTGCGTGGACATGAAGCTGGTGAGCGCATAGGGACAGGGAGGAGCCCAGGGTGCGGGGACCAGGGTGCAACTCACTGAGCCCCACTCTGGTTCTCAGAGCCTTGAGGTCTCAGAGCAGATTCTGCACATGATGAGTCAGTCGTCCCACCTGGAGGAGCTAGTGCTGGAGAACTGTGGCCTGAGAGGGTAAGGGGGACAGGGTAGGGCTTGGGGATAGGAGTCTGGGAGCTTGGGATGAGGAGGCTTGTGGCCTGGGGAGGAGATGGGAATCCAGGGTCAAGAGTCTCATGCCTGGGGTCTGGTCCCCAGAGACTTTGTCCGGCGACTGGCCCAGGCACTGGCAGGGCACTCAAGCTCTGCCCTCCGGGAGCTTAGCCTCACTGGGAACCTGCTGGATGACCGAGGTATGGCTGAACCTAGGGAACCGCAGGGGGCTGGTGCTGGAGGAGGTGAGAGCCACACAGCTGCCCCCATTCCCTAGGCGTGACTGCTCTCAGCAGACACCTGGAGCATCGTCCTGGAGCCCTAAGGAGACTCAGCCTAGCGCAGACAGGGTTGACACCACGAGGTAGGTGGGGTAGGCCGGGGGCAGCTTGGGGGTGGATCTGCCCGATTGCTGAGCCACTTTGTCCTCCGCCACCAGGAATGAGGTCTCTGGGCCGGGCACTGGCTTCCAATGTGGCCTTTGACACCGCCCTGACCCACTTAGACCTTTCCGCGAACCCTGGGGCGCTGGGGGCCTCGGAGGACAATGGGGTGAGTGGTTGTCTTTGGAGGCAATGACTGGGGGCAGTGGGATGTCAGGGAGCTCTTGGTGAGGTGATCCCTGACTCCCTCCCACCCCTGTCCTCTCATCAGGGCCTCTATAGTTTCCTGAGCCGTCCTAATGTTCTGACGTTTCTGAATCTCGCGGGCACCGAAACCGCCCTGGACACTGTGAGAGGGTGGTCGGTGGGGGGATGATCTGTAGGGCCGGTGGCCGGGCCCGAGGCCGGAGGGTAGACCGGGGGCGGGGTGGGGGGTGCTCTGTCCTTCGTCGGTGTAGCCCACACCCTCCTCCCGCAGCTGTTCGCAGCGCTGGCCCGCGGCTGCTGCACCAGCCTCAGCCACCTGGACGCCTCGAGGAACGTCTTCTCCCGCACGTAAGGGGGGCGGGTCCGGGCGGGGGTGTGGGTGGGGGAGAGACTGCGGGGAGCCGCCTCCCTGCGCCCGGAAGCCCACTCCTCCCGCTCGCCCACCCCAGGAAGTCCCGCGCTGCGCCCGCCGCGCTGCAACTCTTCCTCAGCCGCGCGGGGACGCTTCGGCACCTGGGCCTGGCGGGCTGCAAGCTGCCGCCCGACGCGCTCAGGTCAGTGTCGCTGCCCACGGCTAGGTGTGCGGCCACCACCCCGGCCGGGGCCCCCCGGAGCTTCACCCCGCTCCTATCGCCCCCCCAACTCCCGTGACCTCCCGGCATCCTGGCCCTTCCTTCTTGGTATTCGTTCGCGCCCTGGGGCCCCCTTTCCCAGCTCCCGCCACCCCCTGTAACATCCCCTCCCAGGGCCCTTTTGGAAGGCCTCGCGCTCAACACGCACACGGGCGACCTGCACCTGGACCTCAGCGCTTGTGAGGTGAGCGCCCGGCCTGGGACGTGAGTAGGCAGTGGGCCCACAGCGGAGTGGGGCTGCGAGGCGGGAGCGCGGGCCACAGGGCGCCTGAGCCTCCGCACCTGTGGCCCGTTGGTCTGAGCGTGCCGCGCCTTCCACCTTCAGCTGCGCTCAGCCGGCGCTCAGGTGATACAGGACTTAGTGTGTGACGCTGGCGCAGTGAGCTCCCTGGATCTGGCCGATAATGGTGAGGCCGCCCCGAAACCCACGATCCCACTGCCCACCCACTTCCCACCCCATCCCCACCCCCTCAGCCTCTCCTGATGCGTGACCCGAGCCACCCCTAGGCTTTGGCTCAGACATGGTGACTCTGGTGCTGGCCATCGGGAGGAGTCGGTCCCTACGACATGTGGCACTTGGAAGGAACTTCAACGTCCGGTGCAAGTGAGCCCCCATCCCACTCCCGGACCTCCCAGACAGCACCCCACCACCCACCACCTACCCAGGTCCTTCCAAACCGCGTCCCCTGCTCCACAGGGAGACCCTGGATGACGTCCTGCACCGGATTGTCCAGCTCATGCAGGATGACGACTGTGTGAGTTCTTGGGACCATGCGGGATCGTCAGGCAATGGACGGACCCCTGTGACTCCTGTTCTCTCAGACCCTGTAACCTGCCCCCCTTGCTGACCGCCGATTCCAAACCCAAATGGCGCTTTTTTTTTTTCTTCTACCTCCAGCCCCTGCAGTCCCTGTCCGTGGCTGAGTCGCGGCTGAAGCTGGCCACTAGCGTCCTGCTCCGGGCCCTCGGCACCAATCCTAACCTGATGGCTCTGGATATCAGCGGCAACGCCATGGGGGACGCCGGTGCCAAAATGCTGGCCAAGGCACTTCGGGTCAACACAAGACTCCGGTGGGCGGGGTCAGAGGGGGAGGAGGGCGTGGCGGGGGGGGGCTTACTGGGTTAAGGGGCGGGGCTGAATGTGGAGGGGCAAATGCTGGGGACTGGGGCGCGAGGTGAATGGACAAGGCCAGCAGGTTTGGGTGGAGCCTTGCGGAGCTCCGCCCTTGACTGAAGCCAGGCCTGGCCCAGGTCTGTGGTCTGGGACCGGAACCACACATCTGCTCTGGGCCTGCTGGACGTGGCAGAGGCCCTGGAGCAGAACCGCAGCCTAAAGGCCATGCCTCTGCCACTGAACGACGTGGCCCAGGCCCATCGCAGCCGCCCGGAACTGACCGCACGTGCAGTACATCAGGTTGGGTTCCTGTCTCCTCCCCTGCCCTGCTCTGTGCCGTGGCCCCGCCTCCTACCACTTCTCAATATCCCTTATGCCCAGATCCAAGCCTGTCTTTTGAGGAATAACCGTGCGGACCATGCCTCTTCTGACCGCACCGGCCGTCCGCAGCCACCTTGTCTAGTCTCAGACCCCTCGGAGCAGGTTGGTGTCACCTCCCTCAACCTTGAGTAGGTACAGAAGATAGGGGATGGGAAGAGATGTTGCGCCTGGAATCCTCCAGGAGTTTGAGCGTCCTTCTTGGGGCTAGGGGGCCTGAATTATGCTCTCCAGGACAAGTCCCTCTTTTTGGTAGCTCCCCCAAATAACACCCCTGGATGCCTTTTAAAAGCATTTAAGTAGACTCTCCTGTTCAAGATGAGAGGTATTTAAAAATCCTTCCTTAATTCTCCCCCCCACCCCCAGCTGATTGTAGCCCCATCTGTGACTTCCCTTTCGCAGGGCTCTCCTCTCCACCGACCTCTGCTGGGGCCCAACCCAGCAACCCTTTCTCTGACTTCATCTTCCTCCACTACCTTGCCCTTATGAGATGTTCCTACCTATCCTTTCCCAAATCCCACTTCGTTCTCAGGCTTTAAAGCTGAGGCATCTTGACTGCTCCCTGCAGGGGCTTCACATTCTGTACACCTTCAAGTGACGTCATCACCTCCCACACTCTTCTCTCTACCCTAGACCCCATTCTCACCAGTGCTCACACTCACCAAGTGTTGTGGACAGAGGTTTGGGCCAGGTCTCTCCTGGCCACATTAGAACCCCTACAGACCTCCTTGGTCCTATCCCTGCTAACTCAAACACGCTGCTCCTCACTCCCACCCCAAATGTCTCCTGCTTCCCAGGTCCTTCGTCCATGGCTCCTCACTCCCATTTCTGCCCACCTCAGTCTGTCCTCTATGTGGCTAGTGAGCAGACTGAGCTTCTAAAACATAGAAAAGACTAACAGCTCCTTTTCTTCCTATTCTGGACACTTAGGAAGGATATATAAAGTCCCTAAAATGATCCAAAGGGGACACTGCTTGCCCTCCTTGAACAGATAGGGTTCCTGAGGGGCTGGCCTGAAAGTATTGGCTTCAGGAGCTCACCCACCCTGTTGGAGACTCTGGGAAGGAAGCCGTCAGTGTCTGGGAGGCTGGAGGGGGCTAGGATGGCACTGATTCTTGATGCATGCCTCCCCCACTCCCCAGGAAGTGAATGAACTGTGTCAGTCAGTGCAGGAGCATGTGGAGCTACTGGGCTGTGGGGCTGGGCCTCAGGGTGAAGCTGCTGTGCACCAGGCGGAGGATGCCATCCAAAATGCCAACTTCTCTCTCAGTGTGAGCACCCCTTCCCCACCGCTGCTGCAAGGACCCTTCCCCTCTTAATTAGGTGTCAACTTGCAGCTTCTCTTCCTTGGCCTCCAGATTCTCCCAATTCTGTATGAGGCTGGGAGCTCCCCAAGTCATCAGTGGCAGCTGCGGCAGAAGCTAGAGGGCCTCCTAGGACAGGTGGGCGAGGTCTGCCGCAAGGATATTCAGGTAAGATGGTACTCTTGCCCCAGCCCCATGTCCATATATATATAGGCTTGACCCCCATTGCGTAAGTTTGACTGTGATATCCCTTGCATGAATGTTCTGTGGGGGTTGTAGCCTCAGGCCACACTCTCCATGCTCTGGTCTTTGCCCAGGACTTCACTCAGGCCACACTGGACACAACAAGGAGCCTCTGCCCACAGATGCTACAGGGACCCAGGTGGAGGGAGCAGCTAGAGGGGGTCCTGCTGGGCTCAAGGGGCCTCCCAGAGCTGCTCCCAGAGCACCTGCTGCAAGATGCCTTCACTAGGCTCAGGTAGACTGGATGGGCCTGGGCTGGACTGGACTGAACGGGACTGGGCAGAGATAGCCCATTAATCCTTGCTCTCTGTTGCTCTCAGGGATATGCGGCTGTCAGTCACAGGGACTTTGGCAGAGAGCATTGTGGCTCAGGCTCTGGAGGGGCTGAATGCAGCCCGGGATCGGCTGGTGAGGGAGAATTGTGTGCGCGCACACACACACTGACCTGGCCACTGCCTTGCAGGGGTTCTATGATGTCTTTTGGGGTCATATAGCCCAGGGGTATTTCAGGGTTCCTTTAGGACTGATGGGACTATGGCTGAGGCCCAACTGCCCATCTTTGGGGTGTCTGGTATTATTGTAGGTGGAGAGTCTGGCTCAGCAGGCAACAGTGGCAATGCCTCTTGCCATACCAGCACTGGATGGGGGTGAGCCCAGCCCCCTTGGGCCTGGAGAATTGGAAGGTCTTTTCTTCCGTGAGGAGGTGAAGGAAAAGGAGGATGAAGAGGAGCAGAAGGTATGTGGCCCCAGAACTCTGGGCCTAGAACTCTGGATCTTCCCATCTTATTATGAAGTGTGGAAGGCTGGGAGGCAGCTCGCCTGTGTCCCAGACTGAGTTTCTGCCCTCCCCACTAGGATGACAATCCTCCACAGAAATGGCCTGAGTCCAGCCAATGTCTTCCCCAGGTTCCCTCCACTCACAGTAAGTCAGGGCCTGGGGGGAAAGGGAGTTAACCAGGTTGGGCTGAAAGTTCTCCATTAGATCTGGGGACTTGGACACGTGGACACATTTATTTAGTCTTGTCCTAGGAACTCCCTGACCCTTGATTGAGCCAGCCCAGGCCCTCTGTGCAGTTCGCAGGTTGGGGTCTGCTATGGTCCGCATGAAGCAGGACCTGAGCAGACCAGCAGCCGGACACTGTCTCCATTCGCCTTCCCCTTTCTCTAACCCCAGGATGCGCATGCTTGGCGGCAGCGCA